ATCTGTGAACATATGGACAGAGGCCCAAGCATCAGATATGGCAGAACGGGATGAAGCTGTAAACTGGTTAAATTAATGAAAACGCTTTAATCCCTTGAGAAGACTAAGGCCCCTTAAGTTGATAAGATTTTTGTTTATTTATTTATTTAAAATACAGCATCTGGTCTCTCCAGGAAAATGCCTAAAATGCTCTCAAAGCTTCAACTTTTGGCAGGTGCAACACTGTCACACAAAACAGGTTTCAGCTTTTTAATTCAACAAGTTGAGGTTGGTTGGTTATTTCAGGGGGGGTTGATTGTTTGTTTTTAAAATCAACTTTGCATCGGGCTCTGAAGAAATCCTAAGTGTTTGTAATACCAGGGCAAACAGGTTCTCTGGCTGCAACTCGAAGGGGAAACAGAAACTGGCTTAGCCTGAAAGCAACTTGTTTTCTGAAATAGTTTTCAGTTATTCTTTCCCCATCTGCTTTAACACTTCCACTGGCACTTCTGCAGAGGCATTCTTATTCATGCAAGGTTCAAAATGCTGAAACTGTAGCCTAATTTTCAGCAGACAAATAAACTACAGTTGTGCTGAAGACCTTGCACTCTGTCATTAACCCAGTAAAGGCTGAACGAGGGCAATGAAGGAAATGCAGTTTTCCCATTAAAACTCCCTGCTTTACAGCAATCTCCAAGCATGACATCAGGCTGCCCAGAGTTCCTTTTGTCTCTCTAACAGCTAAATCATATCCAGATTCCAGAACATACTTCACATGTCAAGAATGGAAATTGTGGTTAATACAGAGCTATTTTAATTACTCTTTGCTTTAATAACTCTTTCTTTGGTTTAGATATATTATTTTTTCCAGTAAAAGTTATACCCAAATGCAACAAATAAAAAGCTGAACAACTATTTACTTACCAGAAACCACAATTATTTAAAATATATACTTTATCTCCCTATGTTTTCAACATTTATACATGTTAACATAAAGTACTTCCAAGTACTTGTTTGTGGAAATAACTGCTCAGCTTCAAGTCAACTAGGCAACTAAGTACAGGCTTGCTGAATATGGCTCAGATACACTGGGATTTGAGGGACACACTAAGCAGAGATTTTCAAGAGAGCAGAGGGCTTGCGTGCTGTTTTAACCTAATTGTGTTTGAGAAGGAGTCAACTATAGAAACCTGAAGTACCTCTCCCTTTGCACTAGAACACCCATTTTGGGATTTAATACTTCAGCTTGTACATTTGCTTCCATGAGTTTAATCTGCTTTTGATTTGTTTTGATTCCTCTGAGTGCCAAGGAAGAGAACTTCTAAGAAAACAGGACACTCTGAATTTATCCATGATTATCATATTTCCTTATGGATACTGGTGACTGTCACAAGCTATTTTTTCTGATGTTTACATCTCAGTTTAATGGTGTAGAGCATGTCTTCTTCAAACTGAGGGGAGAAAAAAAGGAAGCAGTTGTAGTACAGCTCTCCAGGCACCCAGAGGAACACATCTCAGCTGATGCATCACCCACCTTGAAGGTCTGTATTTTTATGTTAATGAAACTTTTTTTTTTTACAATGTCTTTTGGAAAAAGACATTTTCTGCCCCCTGAAAAAGTAAAGCCTGTTCCCTTTTGCATCTTTTCATCCCCACATCTATTGCATTGCTCATCACAGCCCAGCCTGAGTTACTGTGAGCAAATCTGCATTTGAGAACGTTTATATGGAACCACTATTCTGCCTAATGTTATCTGTATTAAGGAGTAAGAAAATAAGCTTAAGACTTCTTCTATCCACACAAAATACAAACCATACACTGCAGCTCTAATAGTACCTTCATGATTTTTTGCCCACACAGCGTCTAATCAAGCTACCTCAGCCTAACACCACTGTGAACATCTGATACAGCAGTTTGCTATGATGGAGCACAGAAGCAACTGTGGAGAGTTTACAGATTCTTTTCATGTAAAGGAACAGCACAAATACCTCAGTAGGAACTGAAAAAATGTTCCACTAAAGCTTAGCTGTTGGGAAACATCAGTTTGTCAAGCCTGAAATGCTTTGAACCCAATGTTTCAGGTTCAACAAACTTCTGCCACATTTACATTAGTGTACGGCAGGAAAGACAAGGAGGCAAGATGTGAATTGGTAAATGCATTTCTCTGGCTTTTCAATATTTGTCAGAATGGCCTCTAGTTTCTTGATAGAGCTTTTTTCTTCCTGATTTGGGTTATGATTTTGCCTTTTTTATTGTTGAAGGTATCATCCAAAAACAGTTGCCAACAAAAATAAAATGAACAAAAAAGAACAGATAAATTCAAGGTAACTCCCATTAAGTACATTTTAAAATCAAAGTTAGAGGTAAAAAATAGCAGATTGAAGTACTCCAGTGTAACACTCCACACCCCAAGATCACAGACAGACATCAACAAAGAGCCACATCTGAAGTCCATTCTAGTATGTAATCTTAGCTCATGAGCTGTGTCTTACCCATCTACGAATTTGCCCTTAAGGACATACTTTTCCAGCCAAGTATTTTAATAAGGCTCCCAAATGAGCTTTTTTGTGTCCTGAATTAATTGTTCTGCTGAACTGCAGTTCTCACTGCTGCAGGCTCACTGTTTTCCAGACACAATTCTCAGCAGTTGTTTTCCCCATATATCCACAGTCACCCAGCATTGCTATTTCTAAGAACCTTCACCAAATATTCCACAGCAGTCAGTCCAAATTACAAGAATTGATGACTAGGGGGGCATTTGTTCTACAATGGCACAGGCAGACTGCAGTGTGCTTCAGGCTCTTAACACCTACAGTGTCACTTAGAGAGGACATTCTGTGCTGAGGAGGGCCTTACAATTCCACCAAGCCCCTCATCCCCTGTATAACATGTTAGTGAAAAGTTAAGCTGTCAGTATAAATAAAACACAAGTGACATGGAGCTGTCTGTGTGCATTTGTACGTTGGATGGAGATGAAATGGCTAAGGAAGCTACAGAGACAGGCAGGTCTTTCCCAACCACCAATGCTACCTGCAGGCCCTGGTGACAGTTTTCAAAAATTTCTCAGTTATGGCTCAATTCTACAGTCCATAGTGCTGGACATGAGCTCTGTGGGAAAGAAAAAAAAACCATTTACAGATAAATGGATTATTCAGCTAAGTTTACTATTTATTTGTACTAACCCTGGCACTTTAAGATACTCACATCTGAATTATTATTAGACATGACATCAGCAGAGTCTGGGATCTACTACAAAAAATGAGCATGGGACCTAAAAGGGTTAAAAACCAGCAGACTAGAACCCTGTGCATTTAACATTCACATTCCTGTGCACACAGTCTTACACTGGCATATAAATGACAGATATGCATCACTGACTTGCTGTACCAGGAATCACCCCAAAACCTCAAACTACAATTTGATGATTCAACAGGAAGACTTAAGGCAAACAGAGGAATTAGGGAGGACAAAATATTACATTTAATCTGTTCTACTTAGCAAACAGAATTTGAGACCTCATTACCACCAACCCATGGCACTCAGGATATGCTGCTCCTGTAATTTGCACTAACAAGATGCAGGGAAGTTAGAGTGAAGTCTTCATAGGCATCAGAGCATTTTCCCACCCAAAGAGGATATACATCCCTAACGATTTCACAAAGATCCTTGAGAAAAGGCAAACAAGTGGTTAAAAAAACCAATGCTGAGTGGAAGGCAGCAAAGCTCTGCTCTCTGACAGAAATAGCTGGGGATTATGGGTAAATCTATGTTCCCACTGCCACTCCGAGAAAACACACCTCAGCCCATCTCTGGCTGCCAGCTAAACCCTGCCCTCACTTCACCTTAGTCTCCTTCACACTCTCTTCAGCTTGGCCCTATGATTTAAGCTCTGCTTACACAGAAAGAGAAGTAAAATTCTTCCTTTAAAAAATAAAATTAAAATTCAAATATCAAATCCATCTTCACTGCAAAATCCTCATCTCACTGGGCAGTGCAGCACAAACAATAAAATCCATGAGACTTTCTCTACATAGGGTTCTTACAGTAAACCCAGGGCATTTGTTCCTGTCCTTTTTACCTAATAGAAATTTTTTAAATTGCATCATAAATAGAGATTGCATCAAAATTCTTCAGCTTCATGGCACACTCAAGTACTTCAAACCTAAAATCAGATCTATTAGAAAGACTGCAGATCTGGTGGGACATTAAAATATCACCCTGGGTCTATCTGATGGCTACATACAGAGCCTTTAAATAAAAGAACACTCCATGGACAATCTATCACCAGGTTTTTGCAGCCTTTTCAAGCAGTCTGGTGTTTCAAGGCAAAGTTTCCCACTTTTCTTAGTAGGTGTTTGTCAGTTCAGTTATCAAAAATTATTCATGCTTCATTGCACTAATCCAAATATAAGAGGTATACAACATAATTATTTTTATTAAACTGTTTAAACTTACAAAACTTAATTCCCTTTTAAAAGAGTGGAATGATACATCAGCAGAAGCATTTATGGTTCTGAATTTTGGAAGGGCAGCCAACTAACATGGCACATCACCAGCCTAACACGTAATTCCTGGGTGATCAGTGGGATTATATGACTACTTCTGTTGCTGCCTGTCACTACTCAGGGGAACAATCAGTTACTGAACTGTTGGTTTTCTACACAGCCCTGAAAAGAGAAAAAAAGCTGCGTGGAAATCTCACGAACTCAGTTTTTATTTAGCATGACTGCAGTTCTTGAAGTTCTGGAAACCTAAACTAATCTGTTGTTAAAGAGCAAATGTTTTTCTTAAACACTGGCAAAACATACTAGATTAAGAACTGCCAAATTAGCCATTTTATCTTGGTATTGCAAAGATCTTCCTACAATAAGCACAACTGTCCATTAAAAGGTTGACTATAGAAGACAATTACAAGAAAGCTAGAGCATGAATTTACATTACTTTGACCAAGGGAATAGTAGAAAAGGTTTGAGTTTTCCTAGAAGTTACAATTCATCAACCAAAAAGCAGGGCAATCTTACCAGAACTCGATCTCCAATTTTGAGCTCCCTTTCTCCCTTCTTGAGTGATCCAGCTTCAGAGAGATTTGATATAGATTCACTTGCAGTTTTGGAAAGATTGCTCATCTGAGGAGTTGAATGTTCCTTAGCAGCAAGTGAAGTTTTTTGAGGAATTCCTGAAGGAGGAAGTGCAGCAGCAGATGAAGACACCATACTAGCAGCTGATGTGGAGGTTGGGGATGTAGCTCTAGAAGCATGAGCTGTCTGTGTACCATTGGCTTCATCTTCTGTCAGCACTTTTCTTGTCAACTTTGATGGTCTTGTAAATATTCCCCTCAAGGGTTCACACTGGAAATAGCGAACTCCAGCCACGGAGCCATCATTCTTACCAATTGGTTCATCTAGAACAATCCCTGCCCACTGTCCTGGAGCAAACTGTGTTTCACCAAGGAACTGAATAAAGCCAGGTTTATTTCCATTGACCCAAACACGCTCACCAACTCTGAAATCATCCACAAACTCTTCATGTGCATCTGCAGTGGTTGTGCTGGAGGCCTTTTCGCTGGAAGCTGCTTTTTCTGCTGGAGCTGGCATCAAGCACAAAAAGAAAGTAACAGGAATCAAATACACTAATATTCCAGAAAGCACCATTACTTACTTAGAAAAGCGTGGAAAAGCATGACTTCTAAAAGGAACAGCACAATTCCAAAATTTCTTACCTATGGAAACACCAATCTCTGGAATACAGTAATTAAAAAATCTAAGGACAGAGACACTAAATGAATTTCATGTAGGTTTTGGTAAAAAAATCTTGTAAAGATAACATATTTTACCTCAAAAACTGCCCAATCATTTTTATCATGACAAGGTTTCCTCAAGGAGAACTGCCTGATCACATCCAATTAGTAACTTCAGATTTTTTGCACGTTGTACACATCATTTTTGTTAGATCAGAAATACAAGCAAAAATTCCTTGGTGGATTTAGTAACATTGTATACTCCTAGCTTTCAGGGTGCTTTTTGTGAGAAGGTAAAGTTATGATATTTAAATATTCCTTACCAGCTGCAACAGATGCAGGTGTCTTCAGCAATGTGGCCCCATGCTTGATGGTCTTTGAAGGAGCCTTAAGTCCACTTGGTTTTAACATACTCATCTTTTATAACAGTGTTAACCTCTTCGGCTGTAGCAACTATCTTTTTCCAAACATGGATACAATATATTATTTGAGTTTTTCCAACTCTGGAATAAACCTGTATATAAAAACATTAAGACACACAAAAAAAATTAGGACTTTCACTCCTGCAGAATAAATTTCTATATATAAAAAGTCTGTGCATGAAATGCACAATAAAGGATGCTTTACAATAACAACCAGAAGCATCTCCTACAACAGCACTTCCAACTCCTCATCCTCAGAAGGCCATTTCCTATTATAAAACACCAAATCTGAACTTAAAACATCAAAGTAACTCACTTCACTGAATGTTGCTGTATTCATCTTAAGCTTTAAAAGAAAAGGCTATTTTAAGGCTATTTTAAGAAAAACAAAGCCCTTAACAGCATTACTAACATTACACATAGATATAACCACTCTGCACACTCTACTGTTTTCAGTCCCATTTTTCAAGTGTTGCAATATCCCAGCATAAACAACTTGAGACTGGAAAACTAACGGCAAGAGAAATAAAAAATACCAGGAAAATCAGGATAAAAGCAATAAAGTTTTAAAGAGAGACAGGAACTGAAAAATTAAGATTCGTTGACAGAATTAGATGATGACAACTAAAAAGTAAACATCCACCTCAGCAGTACGTGATTTTTGGGATCACAAGACACGCTGGCTCGCAGTCCCCAGCGCAGTGCCCCAGCTCGGCTCCTCTGGGAAGAGGAGGAGGGACTCTTCAGTTGCTAGGATAGAGAGCTGCTCTGACTTGGAAGGCAGCTACAAGCTTTTCAGGGAACTATGTCATGAGGGTTCTGCCACAGAAGGCATCTTCCTTCTGATTACAAAAGCTTTAGAAAGGCTTTTTCATCTAGAATGAAAAACCTGTATTTTTTTTTCTCAACCATGAATTCCAAACAGTAAGCTGACTGGTCTACCCCTAGGCTTCAAAAACGTGAATTGCTCTGCATGAACACAGCTTGGCTGTCAGCTGAGCTGTATCTGTAAGGCACTGACAGAACAGCTGTGCTCACGAACAAAAAACCAGCACGCATCTAAACAAACACCTTTAAAAACCAGAAGGAAATGCAGACATGCAGCAATAGATTGTTTGCTCAACTGTTTGCTCAGAACATGACAAACAAGAACTGCAGAGCAGGTCTCAGTCCTGCCCTTTACTCAGCGTTTTGGCACCGATCAGTGCACGGGCAGAGCTGGCTGCAGGCTTCCCAAAACCACCCTGAGCAGTGCCCAGGGCTGCAGGCTGGCTGCACAGTATGTTTAAAAACAAAAACACTAGAGAAGGAGGTTGCCATGCTTCAGGAAGGAAGACTAAAGAGGCAAGCCAGCCGTGCTTTTACCTAGCAGCACAAGTGCTGCCCCTTGTGTATTATTAATAGCCAGCACATTAGTGTTCCTAAAAATCAATTCACTGTGGAAAACAAAAAGGGTATCAGGCACACTGCTTTGTGAACCTGAATAACAAAGGGAAACACTTATTCTGCTATTTCAGGATCAGCCATGCCAAATTCAAGCAATTTTCTGAGTTGTCTGCAAATATATTGTACTTTTAAAGCATTCGTTACCACCTTGGCTGTATGGTGCTTGTCTACAACCTAACTTATGCTCCATGAAAACTCCAAAGCAGCACTGTGAAGATTTCTGAGCATTCTAGCACTGCCAGAAGCGTGTCACCCACCCATCTGCAGAGCTATGAGTTCAAGAGAAAAATCCCTCCCTTGTTTTTGCAAGACATACGCCAGTTCACTGTTAATTTTTAAGTGGGACCTTTCATGCTGATGAACATGAAAGGAGATATAGCTCTCTAAAATCAAAGCAGAAGGGTAAGCATGAAATACGACTAAGCTGTGAAAGAACTGGGAGGCACACAGTTACACAGAACTACTGGAGAATCACCTAAGATGTCACTCTGGACACAACAGGAACACTGAGGGGTTTTTTTCCCCTCCTACTGCATACCTGCCCTCCCTGCTAAAGCTGAATGCATCAGATTTCCTCAATTACCCCCCAAAATTACATTTTGCCAGATTCAAATATTTTTTTATTCATAGATGTTCAGTAAACCTCTACTCAGCAGCAAGTTAGAAGGTTCTAATTCTGCATTTCTTGGCTCAGGATACTCATTCATATTTTAATCTTGCTCTCAACAGTCATGGGTTATATATTTGCTGTGTCATTTGCTTTTCTCAACATACAAGCCTTCAACTAGGCCAGAAGTAACACAATCCTGTGTGTCCTGGTTTCAGAGTTACTGAAATCATAGCTTAATTCAAAAGCTTGCTAAAATATAGGCAAGACATTTTGGTAAATTACTCTTACAATAGGAAAAATGCAATTTTTGGTCTTAGAAAGAGACAGAACCTTCAGAGCAGCATTTACTAAAAGAGTTCATAAAACACTGAAAGAACATGCATCTGCATCAAGTGTTGTTAAGGACCATGCACTCCAGCATTTCCTAACAGGCTCCAGATGTCAACTAGCTCATTTTAGTTCTTATAAGAAATAGCAGCTAGCTACTCGTCTTATAATAAAAAGAAAACAGCTGTCCATCACTGTTTCTTTCAAGAATTTATTTTCAGCAACTAGTACTGCAAAAAAGAACTAAACCACAATTAAGTAAGAAATCAGGGAAAAACGTAAAAGCCTTGGCTCACTCCACTGAAGAACGCTACAGTCATGACAAGAGTGTAACAGAATCAATAGTTCTTTAAGCTTAGTTGACATCAGATAAGGGTGCTGCGACCTTCATACTGTCCTTCCCCAGGACAGGAACTGCCATCAGTAAAAGTAAAATGTTTTGTCTGATAAAACACTCAAAATAATGACTTGACAACTGAAGGAAGGAACATGTGTCAACATCACTACTTGCAACTACCATGGAAGAGATGCAGTGTTTCCATGGAGAAGAGCAAGTTGTCTGTCCATTTGGTAGGGAAACAAAGAGGACATTCTAGAATTGAGCAACATAATGTTTGAATTGACTCAAAACAAGACTGCATCATTTCTGTCTTATGCACACAGACAGAGGCAGAATGACTTGTGCAGTGTACTTTGAGGCTGGAACACTACTCTCATGGTTTATTTGTATAATAAAGTGAAACAATTATTTTAATTTATGATGCTCTGCTATCAGTCATGCACAAGTTCTTAAAAATATTTCAAATAAAAAGATTAATATTTAATATAGATAACACCATTAAGAGACTAATGACTGTTGGAAAATGCCTTTCAATGCCAACACATCTCTAAGCTCAAAAAGGAGACCACTTAATAGCAGAGCAGTGATTTGCAAAATATATATAAACATTAAGACGAAGAGATTCAGAGTAAATATACTAAAAGGGTCATATAGAATAGATAGCTGCTGAAAACCTCCCACAGATCTGTCACCACAGAAGATGAGATGCAACCCCTGTCACAGTCAACTAACTAGTAGGTATCTAGAAAACAAATTCTGACCATACCATAAAGAAAATGTCACATGTACAAAATAAATCAGAAAATCCCTTCTGTAGAAAAGTGTTATGGAAAATACATTTCAATGATCGGCACAATCCAGTAGCTTCACTTTACTGAGCAAAAAATAAACTCTCCACATGAAGCACTACATTTGAAGTAGCAACCTGAACTGCATTTGTTGAATTTCCATTTCATACTCTTGGTCTTCCTACCACTATTGCCAAACTTTCAGAAGCTTGTGAATCATTCCTTAAATATCCTGACAATGGTTTAGGGCAAGTAACTTGGAATTTTGAACTTGGAAATTTTTGTCTTCTGGTCAATGAGTTACTCTGAGTTCAGACTTTTCACAGTTACAAATGAAATTTTATGTACACTTCACAATTCCTAAAATCATTGCAAAGTTAACACTTTAAAGTGTATCAGATCTAATTCTTATTGCAGATCAAAAAGTTGTGTTTGTGGTCTCTTGGGCTGGTATCACAATTCTGCAAAAAGCAAGAATATATACTCCCAAAAGCACTTAAAAGAATGCTGTTAGTGAAATTTAGAGGGTTTTTTACTTCATACACGATTTAAAGATACAACTACATTTTTACTTTAAACAAAACAAATGCCTTCACATTGTACTGCTATTTGCTTCTTGCTGCTACCTCTTTAAGAATGTTTCGCCCTGTGCAAAAATGTGCCTGATCACAGACACCAACTTCTGGAAGGTTCAGATAGGAATGAGATTAATTTGTCCACATCTGACCAGACCAGGACTTCCTTACTGAAATAACTGTGGATGAGGTGAACAGAGCAGAAAGCAAATAGCCTCACATACTCTCCCTGAGTAGCATTTCCTATTATCACCATCTTGTTGTGTTTCCAAGAACAAATACAAGTGGGGTCAGCCCTCCACTACCTCAAATTATACAGCCAGGTTGCTCATGTTTTGGAAAACTGTAAAGTCAGCCCACCCAGAGTGTGGGAGAGAAGCTGCATCCTGGCACAAGTATTCCTGAACATGATGACTCCTCTGCCACTCTCTGGGTCTACTGCAGATAGTTCATATTGGGCAATTAGAAAGACTGAATCACCACTTTGCAAGCGTTGGGATTATCTTTCCAATTAATTATTTCCACAGTACACAATATCCAATGAGAATGTCATATGAAGATTTCAAGCAGCTCTGTAAAAACTTTAAGTGGTTAAAGCAAAAAGATAGATTTGGAAGCCTTCATACATTGACTTTTCCCAGCTTCTTAAAATCATAGAACCATAGGGGTTGGAAGAGACCTCTGAAGGTCATTAAGTCCAACCCCCCTACTACAGCAGGAACACCCAACGCAGGTCACACAGGAACACATTCAGATGTGTCTTGAAAGTCTCCAGAGAAGGAGACTCCACAACCTCTCTGGGCAGCCTGTCCAAGGGCTCCCTCACCCTCACAGTAAAGAAGTTTCTGCACATGTTGAGGTGGAACTTCCTGTGTTGTCACTTGGTGCCATTTCCCCTCATCCTACCATAGGCACCACTGAAAAGAGACTGGCCTATTCTTGACACCTACCCTTCAGATATTTATAGACATCAGTAAGGTCCCCTCTTAGTCTTCTCTTGTCAAGA